GGGGTCGCTATGAGTCGGGGCCGCTATGAGTCGGGGCCGACTCGACGGCACATAACAACAACAACAACAACGTTACCAAGGGGTTGCTGTAAGTTGCATCCGACTCAACAGCACATAACAACAACAACAATACTTACCGTAGTGCATGGCACACTGCATATGCCCAATAAATGTTTGTTGAATGAATGAATGAACAAGGAGAAACAACTCTTGCAGCTGCCAGTAGAAGCCCTGTGGGAAAGACTCGGAGATATCGCCAGGTAGACGGCTCTGAGTTTGAATCCTGTGATGTTAGTAGCTGTACCTCCAGCGTGCTCAGCGTGCTGGCTGACACTCTGTAAGCACTCAGCGAGTGGGGCCTGGGGTTGTCCAGGGTTACCAAATGACTACTGTTTTTCTTTCTTTCAATAATCTTGTTTTTTGTTGATTTTGAGAATATACAGCAAAACACACCAATTCACCAGTTTCTACCCGTACAACTTGTTGTTGTTGTTGTTGTTACGTGCCGTCGAGTCGGCCCCGACTCATAGAGACCCCTCCTTGGGTTTCCGAGGCAGTATCACTACGGAAGTAGGATTGCCCAACCTTCCTTCCGAGGAGTGGCTGGTGGGTTTGAACCACCAGCCATCTCTTTGCTCTGGGTGAGGAGAAGACCCATCATTGTATCTAGATGAAGTAGGCTGCCTTTTATAGATGAGCAAACTGAGGCTCTGACAGGTTAGGTAAATTGGTGTAAGCCTCCCAGCTATTATTAGGTAGGACTCTAGTTCTGTGGGACCCCAAAGCCTGTGTTCACATTCTTTCTGCTATAGATTTGTAGCACATTTAGGATTAATATCATGGGATTTTAGGTGCCTTTATCAGCAAAATAGTGGTGGTGGTGGGGGTTTCTGATGAAAAGCAGTCCCTGACGACCAGGGATGAAAATGTTTCAGGGAGCAGCATAGTCAGTCCTTAACTAAGTCTTGCTTGGCAATCTGTTTAGAGACACTCAATACATTCTTTGAGTTGTATAACCATCACTACCCTTCTCACCCTCCTTTTGTGAGTTGTTGTCCCTAATTAACATAAATTCACTGCCCCCTAAATGAGGTATGAGGAGCCCTGGTAGCATATGCCTAAGGCACTTGACTGCTAACCAGAAGGCTGGGAGTTCAAACCCACCAGTCACTCCTTGGAAGGAAGGTTGGGCAATCTACTTCTGTGGTGATACCCCCTCGGAAGCCCAAGGAGGGGTTGCTATGAGTCGGGTCTGACTTGATGACAGTGAATTTGAGTTGAGTTAGTTTAAATGAGGTGTCTTGCAAGAAAGGTGAGTATATGGATCTATAGCTCAGAAGAGAGGTCAGGCCTGAAGATAATATCCTTTTAGAGATGGTATTTGAAGCTACAGTGGAAGATGTGTTACCAAGAAGAAGATAATACTGTGAGAAAGTATCTAGGTGCATGGCTCCCCACCCCCCTCAGAAGAGGAACTGGCCAAGTCCACCCAGCAATCTGAGCTCCTCCCCTACCATTCCTGAGACAGGCCCCTCCAATCAGACCAGCATTCGCAGACAGATGAACAGAGAGTCTTAAAATCAAGGAACAGCCAAGCATCTGAAGGAACAGAGTGAAAAACCATCATAAAATAGAAATACCAACCAACAAGCAAGAGCCTCTGAGAGAACAATTGTTGTTTTTTTATTGTGGTCTGGGCAAAAGTTTACAGAGCAGACTGACTTTCCATTCGATGTTTCACAGACATGTGTTTTGGCACTGACTGCAATCCCACCGAGTAGCAGCCCTCTTCCCACATCCTCCATGTGCTCACTGCTTCCATCTGCCCTTCTTTCCTGTCACCTCCTGCCTTCTGAGCTTTATCACTGGGCAAACGCTGCCCTTTGGATGTCACGTGGTTGACTGTTGAAAAAGGCATGCGTACCTTCCTGGCATTACCGCTCACTTTACAGGCCTATCATTTGGCTGAAAGTCAAGCCACAGGGATGTGTTCAGCTCCAGGCTTAAAGGGTGTCTAAGGTGCACAGTCTCAGGGGTTCCACCAATCTCTATCAGACCAGTAAGTCTGGTCTTTTTTATGATTTTGAGTTTTGTTCCACATTTTTCTCTCACTCTGTCTAGGACCTCCTATTGTGATCCCTTTCAGAGTAGTCAGCAGTGATAGCCGGGCACCATCTAGTTCTGGTCTCAGGATCATGGAGGCTGGGGTTTGTGCTGTCCATTAGTCCTTGAGACTAATTACTTCCTTCCATCTTTGATTTTCTTCACTCTTCTTTGCCCCTGATGGGACGGAACCAATAGTTGCACCTTACGTGGCCACTCCCCAGCTTTTAAGACCCCAGTCACTACTCAGCAAAGTAGGATGTAGAACACTGTCTTTGTGGACTGTGTTATGCCAGTTCCCCTTCACGTCCCACAGCACAGTGGTCCTGAACCACGAGGTCCAGTGAGAGAAGAGTTCTTAAAGCAAACAGAAAGAGACGTTAAATGAGTATGATTAATACACAAAGAGATAAAGGAAGGTAATCACACCCATGAACTAAAAACAGGATACTGTGAAAACGGAATCCATTAGAGACCCTAGAAATGAAAAATGGAGTATTTGGAATAGAAAACCACGTTGGAAGGCTGACTAGGGTAGTGGACTCTGGGAAAAGTAGACTAGCGAGTTAGAAGATGGAGCTGCATAGTGTCCCGGACTCAGCACGTGGGACACAAAGAAGTGTGGAGAACGAAAGGAAAGAACAAGTGACACCAAGGATGTAGAGAAACTGGACCCTTGTGTGCTGCTGCTGGGAACGCAAAGCAGTGCAGCAGTTCCTCAGAAAGCCAGCCATACAGCACGGTCACCACAGCACCAGGCCGTGCTAGCAGGTGGAGGGGTGTCCAGTAAACGTGCAGGGGGCGCTCCACTAATCCCGCTGCTCTGGTCCGCTTCCTCCCTCCTCCCCACAACTTCAGGTGATCTTCCGAAATGAGATAACCAACGAGTTCTTGTTCTACACTGTGAGCTTCAGGGTCATCCCTTCAGGTGTCATCAGAACCATCGAATTGGTGAGCATGGTCCGGCAGAGCGCATCAGCCACCGTCAAGCTGGAGAACCCACTGCCCTACTCGGTGACCTTCTCCACAGAGTGCCGGGTGCCTGAAATCAGCCTGCCCTCCCAGTTTGTGGTGCCAGCCAACTCAGAGGTACGACCCTGGCTTCCAGAGTCCCCTGCGTCTGCGCCAGGGGCTTCTCCCTGTAGGACCTCAGGATCCACGTTGTCCATCCTCTGAGGCTGGGCCAGCCCTGGTGGTGGTCAGGAAGGCATTACACCATGTCCTGTCCCCTCCTGCCAGAGTCCTCACATGACCTGGGGGACACATGGGGTTTGGTTCAGGCAGGAAATGGATTCTGCATCAGGAACTGTGCTTCTGTTGTCTGCCTTAATCAGACCAAAACCATTTTTCTTGGTTTTGCTAGTTACAGAAGTAGCATTAGAACACATGTGGTGAAAAGGAAAGCAGGATACATGACAGTATGTCCAGTGTGTCCACCACCCACTACACATAAACACACACACACACACACACATGTATGTGCTTGTCTATGCACAGTTTCAGGAAGGGCAGTGGCTCGGGGCATGTGGCTGAGAATCCCAGGCGGTAGGGAGATGAATTCCCTTTTCACCCATTTTTCTTTCCAAGCTGTCACCCAGCAGAGTAGTAACTCCATCAAAATTTCTCTTCTGTTTCTGTAACTGCAGCCCACCTGGCCTGTTCCCCTCACTCCCACTCGAGCTTTGCCTTCACCTGCAGAATCTAGATTCCATTTTGTTCTTCAGAGAGTCCCATGCCCTTCATTTTATTTTCTTTCCACGTTTCTCATGACGAACTGTATCCCAAACCAGACCCACTGCCGCCGAGTCGATTCCGACTCAGTGCTATAGGGCAGAGTGGAGCTGCCCCCGTAGGATGCCCAAGGCTGTAAACCTTTACAGAAGCAGACTGCCACATCTTTCTGCCATGGAGTGGTTGGTGGGTTCACAGATCTTTTGGTTAGCAGCTGAGTGCTTTAATCACTGTGCCACCAGGACTCCTTAAAATCTATACAGGAAAGTATAAATAATATATATGTGCATTTGTATACCTATATAGTCAAATATGCATATTTAAAATAATTATGATGTAAATACCTGTGTAACTAATACCCAGGCAAGAAATGCAAGATTGCCAGCACCGTGGGGGGGGCTCACTCTGCAGTGTGCTCCTCCGCCACGATCACAGTGCCCAGCCACCCTCCGTCACCTCTACTAGTTACCACTCTCAGTTGCCTTTATTTCCTGATAATCGTTTCTTTCCAACAATGTAGTTTAGATTTGGCTGTTTGGACTTTGTGTGAAAGACAACGTCCTGTATGCGTCATTCACAGTCAGGTTTCTTGTGCTCGGTGTTACAGCTGTGAGAGTCACCCCACTTGGCTGCCATCAGCCGAGGCCCCTTCACCTTCACAGCTAACATTCTGTCACTGCAGAAGTTGCCTGGTTTTCCTGATATGAAACCAGCTTTGCGTTCGTGGGATGAACCCACCTTAGTCATGTTCCTCCTCTTGCTTCACACATTGCTGGGTTTCGTGGGATAACATTTTTATCAGATGCTTTGTATCTACGTTTGAGGCAGGAGAGGGAAATGAAGGAATTATAACCTTTGCCCAACCTGAATAGGGAAGTTGTGATGAGCAGTGAAACAACTTGTTGTGAGGCCAGAGACATTCGGCTCGGGCGGGCTTGAAAAACCACGTGTAGAGAGTGGAAAATTCCTCTGCCCTGCTCCCCTCCCTTCTTCCTCTGCTCATACTCCCCCTCCTCACTTGCTTTGCACACGTTTAACTTCTGTAAAAACTGCTAGCTGCAGGTGCTCTTTTTGCAGGTAACCACTCACCCTCTCGGGAGCTCTGGTAGCATAGTGCCTAAGGCACTTGACTGCTAACCAGAAGGCTGGCGGTTCAAACCCACCAGCCACTCCTCAGAAGGAAGGTTG